CAGGTGCAGCGGGTCATGCCTGTAATCCCAGCATTTTGGGAGGCCAAGGGGGGGGTGGATCACCTGAAGTCAGGAGTTCGAGATCAGCCTAATCAATATGGTGAAACCCCATCTCTACTAAAAATACAAAAATTAGCAGGGTGTGGTGCTGGGTGCCTGTAATCCCAGCTACTTGGGTGGCTGAAACAGGACAATTGCTTGAACCATGAGGCGGAGGTTGCAGTGAGCTGAGATTTGAGATCGTGCCGTTGTGCCACTGCACTCAAGCAATCCAGCCTGGGTGTCAGAGACTCAGTTTCAAAAGAAAGAGAGAAAGAGAAGAAAGAGAAGAAAGAAAAGTCAAAGTGGGCCAGATGAAGTGGCTCACACCTGTAATCCCAGTACTTTGCGAGGCCGAGGCAGGTGGATCACCTGAAGTCAGGAGTTCGAGACCAGCCTGGCCAACATGGCAAAAACCCATCTCTACTAAAAATACAAAAATTACCCAGGTGTGATGGTGGATGCCTGTAATCCCAGCTACTTGGGAGGCTGAGGCAGGAGAATTGCTTGAACCTAGGAGGCAGAGGGTACAGTGAGAGAAGATTATGCCATTGCACATTGCATTCCAGCTTTAGCAACAAGAGCGAAAGTCTGTCTCAAAAAAAAAAAAAAAAAAAAAGTCAAAGTGGTGGTCAGATCAGCATTTTAGAAAAACCACTCAAGATGCAGTTGGGCGCACAATGTGAGGTTTATGAGTCCAGCAACAAAATAAGTAGGCTGCTGAAGTAATATACAGGGTATGGGGTTTACCTGTGACCAGCAGCCTCTCTAAGTAAATGTGAATCTAATTAAGGCACCAGCTAACTGTTGTTACTAGGAATAAGAAAAAGCAATAACATAGTATGAGATCCCTTTATTTAGTCAATGTAAGACAAGTTGGCAAAGGAGATTGGACCACTTCGCTAATAATTGGCCTCTCAAGTTTTTGGGTGCTGGTAATTACAAAAAAAAAAAAAAAAATAGGACTCAGACTGTTATTAACATCAGGTTGAAAATTTATGTGGCACTTTTTAATAAGTTATGCTCATTTGAATAAGAAAGAAATGATGCTTTACTCATTTGGAGAAATAATAAAGAAAGAAAAAGCTAGAGGTAAATTAAAATATAATTTTTACCTCTGATGAATATATTAATATCAGTGAATCAATTTCCTTAAAAACAAAAAATATATATATATTCTATTTTATTTTTCTTTCTTATAAAACCAATTTATAAGACTAATACAAACGATGAACATTGCTTTAAGTATTAATTACTACTACAGCTACTACTAATAATATAGAAATTAAAGGGTTCCTGGAGAGACTAATGCTATTTTATGCATTTAAAAATTGAAATAAGGAATTGTAAGGGTAATCGAGCTCAGCAGAAGGAAAAAAAATGCCTGCAATTTCCACTCTCCTATGTATTCCTACAACATATTCCAAACTTTAGTTTTCTAAAAATAGAAAACCATCCCGCATACAAACTCAGTTTTTAGATACCCCTATACTTTGTCTGTATTGCTCTCTCTCCCCAAAATGTCCATCAAAATATACTTGATCAGAGGGTTGCGTAGTGACCCTCTCATTCCACTTCCTCTGAGAATCTTTCTAGGATTTCCCCAGGCACTTAGTGGCTTCCTCAGTGTTCCCATAGTATTTTCTAAATGTATAATTGCAGTAGCAGTAGTGGGAAGCATTTACGACATTGTTCTTAGCTATTTGCTTATTTTTCTTTTCTACTCTATATAACTTCATCAAAACTACTTAGATGTTTACTTTTCATTAGTTTCTAGTAGAAATATCAAAGTATAAGTTCCCAAGATACACTGAACAGTGTCCGCAAAGCTGATGATGGTGGTTAGCAAATCACAGGTACTGGTTGAATTATTACGAATTGTTTTGTTGGTAATCAAATGAACACCTGAAGAAAGATGGATAAAACAACTAAGAGTATGACCTTAGCTAAGGCCTGTGATACATATTTTCTTGTAACTGAACCTTTTGTGAATTCCAGAAGAAACTTTGTGAAAAGTATCAAGAGTAATGACCCTTAGGTTGAATAAGCTGGTGCCATTTTTGTTTTTTCATAGGCAGATATCTACAGCACTGTGAAAGGAGGTGAGGATTTTTGGAGTGTCACTGAGTAAACGGAGCTCACTTAATTGCTTGAGATGTTACATAAAAATTCTGCAGTAGTTTCACATGGCTGCTGTAACAAATTGCCACACACTTGGTAGCTTAAAGCAACAGAAATTTATTCTTTCACAGTTGTGGAGGCCAGAACCCAAATGTGTATCATTGGATAGAAGCCTAAGTATTGGCAAGGTCATGATCCAGGAAAAAAAAAAAAAAAAAAAAGGCTGTTACATTTTATCACTACGTTCCTTCCCTTAAAATATCTTATAGACACAGACCAAGAACTTAGTGGTTTCAATAGGAAGACAGTGATGCTGCTTAGAGAAAAATGTTTTCTGCACTATTCAAATGACTGTGCTCTCAAATTGGGTAAGATTTACATAGGAAGACCAGAGACATCGAACCTGGTCTTTTACATCCCTCACTAGCTTCCAAATCCTAACCTTGCTCTCAGATTATGAAAACACATGCTTGGAAAGGAATAGCTCAACTAGAGAAAGATAACCACTTTCTATGGATCTCAGTAGACAGAAATAAGCCTGAAACCAATGTTAATGAGGATTTCAGAATCACAAGAGCAAAATGGTACAATAGGGACGTGTGAGTCTACACTTATGATTCTAAGAAGGATAACAGCCTAAAGGTTCCTAAGCAGGGAGACATCTACCTTATTTCTCAAGAGCTCTATGAACTGAATTCCAAAATCATCATGAAAATCCTTTTCTAGTATTTAAGTATTTTCCCTTTTCCTTATATAAAATCCAAATTTCCCTTATTACGGTATAGGCCAATTTTGTTTCTTCTTCAGCAGGTATGTTCAGCCAAAATTAGCTTTGTTAATTTCCAGATTTTTCAATTTCCCACTCCCTCCTTTATCAACCCCCTCCCCCGTTAAATAATCTCTGGTCTTTAGAGACTCTCTTACTGTCATTTTATCTTTTTTTTCTTTTTAAACTTCTATGTAGTTTACATAAGGTTTTACATAAGTTACATTTCCAGGTTCTTTTCCTGAAATTTTTTACTTTATTTATGACTTTTTAAACTTGACCTGGGGAAAAAAAATTCTACTCAGACATCCCTCCTAGATTGTGTTTAAAATCTAAAGCGTCTGTGTGTGGTTCGGCTGGGATGAAGGAGGTAGAGTAGGATCTAGTAAAGAAGTACAGACTTGCAGATTACCCATGAGAGGTTCAGAGTTAAATAAAGTACTAGCATGGGAACAGAGTAATTGTCAAAAGGCAAACAAATGTAAACGCGGGGGTGGGAGGGAACCAACACCTTTGAGTATTGGCAGTGTTTTGTGAACGGATACAGGAATGAGGGTTGTTCCCAGTTTTAAAATGTCAAGATACAGTGTTTCTGAATACATTCAAAAAGATTCTTTTCAGGATGCCAATAACCTGCTACAGAATTTCTTTGTAAGATTCTATTAGCACTTCTTGTAGCAAAGGTTCTCCTATTTTGGGTAACAGGCATGGTATCTGGAAGGAGTTTTAGGAAAGCAATTGAATATTTCAGATACAAAAAGTAATATATCTTTAAACTACTTTAAATAATAAATAACTTGGCACTCATAGGGCACTGACGAAGAAAAAATGTAAAATTTTAAAAATTAAATTAAAGAAACACAGAATCACATGCTTTGTCAGATGCTCCAAAACACGTTCCATTATAATTGTTAAAGTGATCAACTATTGCTGTGCTTAAAGTTAGAACAAAGAAAGATAAGCTGAAAATTGTCCTGTTCACCTATATATGTCCACCTCTTCCTCCAAAATACTTCTAAAATAAATGATAACATACAAATACATACTCAGTATTCAAAGCAACATTCAGATGAAAGACAATTTTGGAGGAATAAAATCAGTCACCAATATAATTTTTTGACACTTAGCTTATCATTGATGCCTCTTCCCATCGTACTTCTCACTTTATCCTCTTTAATCTGGACTGTCCCTTATCAGAATTTACCCTAGTTAACTCTCATTTTAGAAAATATCAAATAAATTAATCCACAGAAACCTAATTAACTACCATTTGCTGAGCATATTATATATATAAAAAATATATATTATATATCTAATATATACATACGTGTGTGTGTATATACATATATATAGCTATACACATTCATATTTTATAACTGGCAGAATGGCTATTAGAGATTATATAATTATAAAGTCAGAATTGTTTATTGATCAGGAATCAGACTGAAAGATGTTAAATTCTTTGCAAGATCATACAACTGTTACATGTTTGAATTATCCTATTCTGGTTCAGTCTGTTAACACATGAACCTACCTCATACCCACTTCAGCCATATCACATTTGCTAATAGAAGCACTATAAATTATTTATCCTATGTAAAACTAAATCTAAAGATATTTCCTACACAATTACATTGGTTAAAATGTTCAAAGAACTTGAACATTAAAGAGAATGTGAAAATATTTTTCTATATCTTAATAATTTTTCTAGTTCCATTGATTATAACAGCTGACATTTACTAAAGTCTTACAGTATTTCAAACACTCTTCTGTACTTTTTAAGGATCATTTCCTTTCACAGCCACAACTCTAATGAGATGTTATATTAGTTAGACTTAAGTTCGGCAGTGACTTACAGAAGAAAAAAATAACAAGGATTTTCATTTATTTATTTATTAATTAATTTTTTGAGACAGAGTCTTGCTTAGGCTGGAGTGCAGTAGTGTGGTCTCAGCTCACTGCAACCTCTGCTTCCTGGGTTCAAGCAATTCTCCTGCCTCAGCCTCCCAAGTAGCTGGGACTACAGGCACCCGCCACCATATCTGTTTTTTTTGTTTGTTGTTTGTTTTTATTTTATTTTTAGTAGATACGGGGTTTCACTATGTTGGCCAGGCTGGTCTTGACCTTTCAACAAGCATTTGTAACAGAATGAATTGGCCAGGCTGGTCTTGACCTTTCAACAAGCATTTGTAACAGAATGAATAAAAACTGAAGGGAATATTGTACAATGCCAGGCATGAGTCTTAACATCTCTATGCCTCACTTTCCTCATTTGGAAAAGGAAGATAATAATTGAGCCTACATATTTAGAGACTGCAGTTAGTTTTTCTCAAAATACTTTGCCCTCTTCTGTTTTGTTAGAGACCCCAATTTTAGATGGTTAAATGGTCTTTCATAATCAAGATTGCATTTCCTAGCCTGTTTGCTGTTACATGTTCATGTGACTGTTTTCTGGCCAATGAGATGTGAGAAGTATCATGTACCAGTTTCTGGGAGCCAAGGTCTTTCACATCAGACTATTCTCAGACCAACTACACAGATATTTGCTTAAAAGGGAAATAGGCCAGATGCGGTGGCTCACGCCTGTAATCCCAGGTCAACTTTAGTACAAGGTATAATGTATCCCTCTGTCATCCAACCATCTATTTCTTACCTGCACCAAAAATAATTCAAGGTCATTTGCAAAGATAGATATGGTACCAAATAAGATTTTTAAAAAATAAAGCAGTAAAGAAGCACTGGGGAAGGGTGGAGGAGATGAAGCCAGACACAATTTAATTATCAAAATGAAGCTAGATTCCATACAAGATTCTAGTCAGAAATAAAAAGAGACAAACTTGATGTATCCACCAACATGGATGAATTACAGAAGCATTATGTAAAGCAGTAAGTAAAAGTAGCCAGACACAAAAAAACTGTAACTTGTATGATTCTATTTGTACTGCTTTGTTGAAAAGGCAAATCAGTGACAAAAATGAAATCAGTGGTTTCCAAGGACTGAAAGTGGAGGAGGGAGATTAACTATAAGAAGGCAAGAAAGAACTCTATGGTGGATGAAAATATTTCATAACTAGATTGTGGTAGTTCTTTCTATACACTTATAGAAATGTAAGACTATGTACATTTATCAAAAATCATTGAACTATATATCTAAAAAGCATGAACTTTGTTGTACATCAATAATGCTTTAATAATATGACATAAAGTATAATATCTTGCTACATTATTTAGCTGAGGATCACCATTTCCCTCTGAGTTTCGTAAACCCAGTGTGGAGATCGACATATGATCAGTTACAAGATCTTTGATGTCACTACTAAGAGGACTTCACTCATAACATTTTTATTTGAATATTAAATTTGTCAATATATGTAAAGTGCTTTGAAAACATCTGGCACAAATCAAGTGCCAGAAGTATTAGTTTCCACTACTATGACTCTTAAATTACAATCTTAGGTCACCCAAACATCCCTCAAAAGACAAAATGTTATGTAACACCTCTCTATGTAGACTCTGGATATTCTTTTAATGCCTTATCACTTCCTATAAAAAAAGACAGTAAATGTTAATTCATTATAGTAAGGTGACAAATTAGTATTAAAATTCTACTATATTTAAAGGAATTGCCTTCAAGGGAAAATGCATATGAAAAAAAATGAGAATAATTCAACCCCACAATGTGAATATAATACATCATGGTAGGCATAGTTATATCAGGGTTAAAATATACATAAAACAAAAAAACATAGTGCAGTGGACTGAATGTTTGCGTCCCCCCAGAATTTATGTGTCAGCATCCTAACTCGTCAGGTGATAGTGTTAAGAGGTGGGGCCCTTAGGAAGTAATTAGGCCATACGGGCGCCTCCATTATATATAGGAATAGTGTTTTTATAAATGAAAAGCATTTTCACTTACCCTTCTGCTAAGTGAGGTTACAGTGAGAAGATGGTTCTCTAGGAACAAAGAAGAGGGCCCTCATCAGAACCTGACCATGCTGGCACGATGATCTCAGATTTTCAGGCTCCAGAACTCTGAGAAATAAATTTCTGTTCTTTGTAAGCCCCCTAATTTATGCTATTTTGTTATAGGCACCTGAATGAACTAAGATGCACAGGAGTTGAAATAAAACTGTATCGTGTTGCCAAACAGTCAAGAGTTTGAAGTTGAAAGACTGCCACTCTGCCGCACCCCCCAACCCTGCCACTCCCTTTTAGCTCTGGCCTGACCTTTCCTCTTTTGATGCATTCTGTTTATGATAACTTACTTTTACTTTGGGTAAGACAGAGAATCTAATTATAAATTTAGTCAATGAGAAAACTGGGTAGGAATTAAATTGAGTTTAAGAAATGATAGCAACCGTGTATACAGAGGATATGAATGGATTCCAACAGAATAGAAATGTGAGATCATTCCCTTTAATATGATTACATTCCTTTCTCTTACAGGACATTAAAAACTTTGCTTGAACAATGCAACAGGAGGCATTACTCTCTATATAATTTTATCATATTTTTCCTCTTAACAAATTCATGCTTTACTTATTACAAGGAACTATATCTCTGTAAGAAATAAGAGGTACATTTTGACTGTAGATTACATTGAAGAAATCAGCCCTTTGAAAGGGTCTGTGGTCTTATATAACACAATTACGCACAGAGAGATAAAAGAATCAAAAAATGTATTTCACCAGTAGGCAGTGTCGGAAGCTTCAGGAAAAGTAGAGGCCTGAATGCTGATGGGGGAAGACTGAGACATGCAGTTTATAGAGAAGACTGAGACATGCAGTTTATAGAGAAGAATTTTTATTCGGAGGCTTGGTAGGCCATGGGAGGAATGGGTCTGTAAGGCAGTTATAGAGGAGAAAGAAAACAGAGAAGTCAGTAGAGCAAGAACAAGCACTCAGATCCTTAAGCAAAGATAAGGTTCAGATAAGGTTGATGGCATCTCAGAATGTTAATGATTAAAACTTCTATGAAGTATAAGTCATGTTTCGTAACTTCAAAACTTTTTTAAACATTGAAATTATTTCCTATCTAGAGATAATTTAATTCTTTAAAATTGTTTCTTCTATTCAAACAGTTTTGTAAAAACTTCTCTGTTAAATAGAAGAATAAAACTTTCTTTTAATATATATCTTACATTAACATTAGCACTTCCATATTGTATGTATAATGATACCCATTATTTTCCTTAAAAAGAAAAATATTTGGAAAGATGAACCTCATGCAAATTGCACCTATAAGAAGAACTAACAACAAGAATGCATCTCACAGAAATGTATCACTATATAGTTGAGGGGAAAGAATAGGCACAGTATGATAATTTCAAGCATAGTAATACTGACAGGTCAGAGTATATGCTGTGAAAAACAGGAGTAGTGGTCAGGCATGAATGATAGTGCCCAAAAGGAAGATGGAGTTAAGCAGCATCTTACAACCAATGGCCAAGTATGAGCAGCAGTAACAAATGAAGTACAGTAATAGAAGCTGAAAGTTGTAATGATTGCCTGAAAAGGTGAGTCAAAAAAAGATTCACAGGACATTTGATGCCTGAAGGCATTAGCATTATGGGCATAATTGGAAAAAATGAGAAGCAGGATCCATTACAGAACTGTTAGAGGCAAGGACAAAGGTAACATTGAAAGGATAAAATGAAATTTCATTTTTACTGATGGTGGTTAATCAAAACTTTGGAAGCAGATAAACAACTGAAAAGGTTTATTTAATATTATTCCTATTCTGCAGTAGATTAATAAGTCTTTTTAGTTCTCCAAGATAGAAAAATGAATCCATTATCCCCAGTGATAACTTATTTTATCATATGTTTCTTTCCAAAATTGGCTTGAATATTATCGTTGTAAATGTATGAAATGAGATTTATATTTAATTGCTCATTTTATACAAGTTGACAATAAAAAGACACATGTCAAAGAGGCTTAGGGTCACTATTTTTCAGAATTGTCCTTTTAAACTTTAAATGGTTCAAATTTTGCTAAATGATGTTCACAGAGTTATGAGAAGACAATTCCTTACGTTGGCATAAGATACCTACACAGAATTTTCTTTTTCCTAATTCTTTCCAAATTCTTTTTTTCTTTTCTTCGGACTTTCAAATCCTCTTTCATGGTATAGAAGAGAGATCACATTGTGGCACTTCTTAGGAGTGGATGCAGTGCTCACAATCTGATCTATTTGAACTGGTTCTTATTTATTTTATAATGTATATTTCCTCATATATTTGTTAAAAATCAATATATGGTCTAAGGCATTCTATTTCTTACCATAAGTACTTAGTGTATAGTTAGTTCTTTCTATCATATGACAATTAACAGTGAGAAATCAGATTTTCACTATTCCCACCCCTACAAATGACCTGTGGATAATGATAGCAGAAACTTGTCCACAATCAGTATTGACAGATCAATGTTTATGGGAGGTTTGACATTACTCACATGATACTTGCCCACCTCTCTTCTTTATTCTATCATGAAAACTTTAGGCGTCAGGCACTATTGCTTTATTTTCTAATCAAAACAGAGACCAGGGATTAGAAACAGTGAGAACCCCCTATGTGTCAAGAAATTGGTGAGGGCTCTGTACAGGTCATTTTATATATTTCTCTTAATCACCTAGGCAGTGAAATATTGTATTATTGTCATTTCTCAGATGTGGGTAATATAATATTTATCACTTAAGAATATATATTAAATAGCTGGCCTTAAGACACAAAGCCAGTAAGGAGCAAATCTGAATTTCCAACCCACTCAAGTCTGATTCCAAAGCCTGGATCCACCAGATCATTCTGCACATTGGTTCCTGTTTTTGATCTCCTGTCTTTCCAGTGAAACTATAAACATTGATATCATTAAAGTAAAAAGATAGAGGCAATACCAACATTACTACCACTTCACACAAGCACACGGGCGCACACACATACACACACACACATCCTTCATACTGAGGAAATAACAAATATATTTCAAAGATTATTTTAAGTTAGAGTTAAAATACAATGATTTATCCTAGCGTACTAAGATTTTTTATTGTTTTTCTTCTACATGGATGTGTAAAAATTTTATATCACGTAATATTAGTGATAAACACATTCTGTGACATGTAATATGCACTTTTGAACCCTTGAAAGACTCATGTTTTCTTTAACTTCCCTCTTAAGTGTTTCGGTAATTCACCTCTTTGACATAATGCTAATTAACAAAGAGACCGAGAAAAATTGTGTTTCTATGTATCTATCCATCTATTTTTTAACTCCGTTTCCCTTAGACTGATAGGTTGACTGGTAACATGTAGATCAGTGGTTCTCAACTGGGAAATTTTTTTCCACCCAGGGCAAGTTTGGTAATATGTGTAAGACTTTTTTTATTGTCACAACTGTGGAGGAGAGAAGGAAGATGCTATTGACAGTTTATAGAGGCCAGGAATGTTGCTAAACATTAAACAAGGCGACAATCCCCAAGAAGAAAGAATTATCTAGGCCAAAATGTTAATAGTGCAGTTGAAAAACCAAATGCTAGATGTTTACATCATTTAAGAAGGAGAAGACCATGTGACTGACTACCTTTCATGGCTATCTAGTAACATTACAACAAAGGAAACAGATTCATAGAGTTTCTCAAGAAGGTAAATAAGCAGAATCACAAAGACACATTCCCAAGGGGAGTTATTGCAGAAAGGACTTAGAAGTAACCAGTTACAGTCATGCAGAGGAAGGGGATGAAAAACATTTGCAGAATGTTACAGCTAAGATACTACTTATTTGCTCAATTTATTGGTAGAAATTTACCTGAGAAAAAAGTAAATATAAATTAATGTCAGTTGCAAACATCTAGCATATTTGCAAAGGATGGTTGTAAAATACTAAGAAGAACCAGGAAACTAAGTAACCTTCCTTTCTAATTTTGGTAAATAAAAACAAGTTTGCATTTATTAATCATGAGTCATTGGCACCTAGAAATAAAAGACACAGCTTATGTACTCAAACAGCTAACTGGATAGAGAGGAGAAATCACAATTATTCTAAAGCATAATGAATAATTATATCCAATGATGATTTACGCCCTGAGACCATTCGAGTTAATAAGGTGAGACTACTTGAGGAGGAGCAGAAAGGCAGTTCTAGTGAGAATCAACACAATGTATATGGAAAAGAGTTGAAAAACAGCCTGGAATCTTCAGAGAACTAAGCTCAGGTGGCATGGCTAAGAACATATAACAGTGAGGAATAAAAAGGGCAAATATCAGATGATCATAGCCTTGGAGTTACAAAATGTTTGGAATTATAAAAATGGTAGAGAAAATGGCACATCTGACTCTTGCTTGGAAAAGACTGTAATGATTGAAAGAAAAAATACATACTCTTATGCTTCTGTGAAGGAAACAATTTCAACATGGAACACTTTGAATGAACATAGTATAAAAAGCCATAAAGGTGTGAAACTTTGATTTAGAAAATCTGATAAGATAAAGTCAGTTAAAAGAAATACGTACAAATGTGTTAGTTATAGCGTTAGTTATAATGGTAAAAAAGTGGTTTTCAAAAGTTGACAAAAACCTATCCAAATATAAATTGGTATACTTAAAGTCCTTCAACATTGGTAAATGTTTAAAGTATGGTTCTTGCTAAATGAATAAAATAAGTTACAAATGATTTTGTAATATATTGTCATTTTAGGATAAAATGTAATGTGCTATGTATGCATAGGAGTATATTTAATTGTCTTCTTTTTAAAGACTGAAAAATATTCCATTAATTATGTGTGCATATGTGTGTGTGTGTGTGTGTATATATATGAATTTTCTTTATCTGT